CACAAACGGGATTTTCCTTTGGGCAAGTGTTTCGCGTGGGCTCGTCGTTCTCCTCGTAAACTTATCTCGTGAGGTTACTATTTCGTAGCCATTGGAGATGGCTATTTGCCGAGCCAAGTCGCGCGATTCTTCCTTTAGTTCCCTGGTAGTGCACACAGAGGTGGCTGTTCGAAACATGTTTCTCACAATCGCCCTCTTTGTGTGTGAAGGGTGGGAAGAAAGGAAATGAACAACGATGTTCTTGTTGCTTGGCTTTCGATACCACTTTGTCAGGTAACCGCTGCTTGATAGGTTTATTTGGACGTCCAAAAACGGAAGCCAGTTTTTTCTCGGTTTCTCCCGGGTGAACTTTATGTACTCGGACTGCTCGTTCAATAATTCAAAGCATTTGTCCATCTCCTCCTGCGTACAGAAGACGACAAAACAATCATCTACATATCTGCAGTAGAGTAGTGGCCGGAGATCNGCCAAGTGTTTCGCGTGGGCGCGTCGTTCTCCTTGTAAACTTATCTCGTGGGGTTACTATTTCGTAGCCATTGGAGATGGCTATTTGCCGAGCCAAGTCGCGCGATTCTTCCTTTAGTTCCCTGGTAGTGCACACAGAGGTGGCTGTTCGAAACATGTTTCTCACAATCGCCCTCTTTGTGTGTGAAGGGTGGGAAGAAAGGAAATGAACAACGATGTTCTTGTTGCTTGGCTTTCGATACCACTTTGTCAGGTAACCGCTGCTTGATAGGTTTATTTGGACGTCCAAAAACGGAAGCCAGTTTTTTCTCGGTTTCTCCCGGGTGAACTTTATGTACTCGGACTGCTCGTTCAATAATTCAAAGCATTTGTCCATCTCCTCCTGCGTACAGAAGACGACAAAACAATCATCTACATATCTGCAGTAGAGTAGTGGCCGGAGATCGAGAACAGGGGCTTCTATCTTAGACATATACACAATGGCAAGGCTTGGTGCCAATCGCTGTCCCATTGCCAACCCCCTTGTTTGCGCGAAATATTTCCCAGACCATCTGAAAATCGAGCAGTTTAGGCACTCCTTTAAGAGAGCCATTAGCTGCTGGATGGACAAGCCATGCATATTTATTCTTTCTTCATATTCAACAAGAAGTTCGAAGATGGCTTGCATTGCGGAGTCATTCGATACGTTGGTGTACAGTGCGGTAACGTCGAAAGACTCCATCACGTGCGCGTTATTGGGAGACGCGTTACGTAGACGTTCTAGGAACATTTGGGTGTTTGTGAGGTGAGCTGGAATGTAGTTAAGCAACTGGGTAAGTATTAGGCTTAAAAACCAGGTTATTCTATCCATTGGACCGTCTACACAGCTGATGATGGGCTTAACCTTAAATGATGACGGATTGGTTGACCCAAGGTCATTAGGTGATACCAACTTATGTGTTTTAATAAGTAGGTATAGGACGGGACATGTTGGTCTATCGATTTTAAAGTGCGAAATAACCGATGATTTTAAACCCGCAGCCTTTGCCACACTGACCCATTGATTGTTTAGCTTTCGGTATTGACTTTTATATTCCTTTTCAGAAACCCTAGAATGAATAGCAGGGACGAATGCCCGGAGGTTATACGCGACCTGATCCCGTATGTTCGCATCGATTTTTGATGTGGGATTGTGCAGTCGTCAACCACATGCGACTATTATCAGCTGTTCTAAACTTTCTCATTGGAAGTCACGAAAAAGCGGTGGGTTTTTTCGGGAAGTTGTTGATCATGTAATTACCAGAGAGTTTTCCATCTTTTTGTAAGCGTTGTTGAAGCGTTTGGTCTAGTAGATTGTATACCAGTATACTCTTCCAGGCTCTGAAGAAGACTATACCGCCGAAACGTCAGCTAGCGTTGTATTGTATTGTATTGTGTTTCTCTATGGAAGTAAATGTATGCTGTTTAAAAACCTCGCGATTGCTGAACAAGAAAACGACACATTCATATACTCATTGTCTTATTTTATTGTCAAGCTTATACCAGATCGTTTTCAGAAACACTTTATTGTGACTAAAGTAGCGATCCCTTGGTTTTTTTCAGGACTGCAATGATTCGAGTCGATTGTCCACACCTGTTCTTCGACGCACTTTACAGTAATCCAAAGAAATCCAATCCAAAGAAAACTTAGTTATTCAATGTGAGATAAGATCAGAGCAATTGTATCGTCTCCCGCTAGAAACGAGTAAGACAGTACTTTGCTTTGTTGAATCAGTATAATATTAAATTGGTAGCTTTTGAATGCGACGATTTTTCGCTGCTGAAATGGTGTTTATTTGCTACCATAGTTTGTTAACGATCACAGTTTACGACTGAAGCACAAAGACCTGCTGAATCAACTAGGGAAGGAAAAATTATTGTTGGTTGGAGAAGCCTGGCAGAGGCGACTGCAGAGTTCGCGTTACGTTTGAGGGATTAGACGTGAATGGGGTTACCTATGCAAAATATTTATTATCACCTTGGCTTCATATGCAGCTGGGATAACATAAAGCTTTAGAATGCAGTTAAAGAGTGGCTATCCTTTGAACTGTGATTTTCCATTTTCGATTGTTTTTTAATCTATGAAATTTTAGAGCAACCGCCCAATCATCGTCTAATATAAGAGTTCCATACCAATGAAGAGCATAATAGTTAACAACCAATCTTCATCATGGCTATCACAATGCGATCACTTCTTCTTCTATCGACGGTATGTTCACTCTGCATATATGCAATGTAATATTTCAAAACAGACTTTCCTTTAGCCTCGGTATGACTAATCAACTTGTAATCTATCTTTATTAAGCTTAGACTAGGTTGATAAACAATCTTTGTTCGGCTAACGTTTCGACGTCTTCGTCTTCATCAGAGCTGATGAATCGCTTTGATGGTTTACAGATCATCATCTGTCACTTTTACGATGTTGCTGTATAAATCGAGAAATTGAAAACCATCACAAGACTTCTTTCAATATAGTGAGGCTGGTCCGGTAGAGTGGGTTTGCAATTGGATGAGATCGCAGAAATTGTGAAAAGCACCAGAAACGTCCTACAGGACTTCACCTGGAACGAAATGGTCTTTCATCGATGTTCGAGAGAGACAAATGCTCGGCCTACGAGAACAGTGGAGAAGGCCGCTCACGACGTTGCTTCTGATTCACTTGACAGATATTTTTACCTTATTACATGCCTTGTCAAGAAAGATGGATATTTAATGGTTTTAGTTCCTCGTTCACAAGTCCAGAGTACGACTCGTTGTTGGAAAATCCTTCAGTATTCCCTCCAATACGAAACGTTTCCCACGTTTCAGAAACCTCTTCGTAGTCACCGTCAATCCCGCATTTGGAACGCATGACAAGATCTATTCAACATTCCAAGATATAAATGTTGAATAATGGCAACTATGTGTGGAAGAAAGCTTCCCAAAAAGTCAATACAACGCCAGCTGACGTTTCGGCAGTATCGCCTTCTTCAGAGCCGCTTTTTTCGTGACTTCCAATGAGGAAGTTTAGAACAGCTGATTATAGTCGCATGTGGTTGACGACTCTGCCGAAACGTCAGCTAGCGTTGTATTGTATTGTGTTTTTATGGAAGTAAATGTATGCTGTTTAAAAACCTCGCGATTGCTGAACAAGAAAACGACACAGCGGGTTATATTCAATGGTAACAAAATTGGTTGAAGTACTGTGAGTGTGCGTGATTAGCCAGACGAAATGAATTGATCAATCCCGTCATCTCATATGGAATGATCACTCTTCGGTTGGACTCGAAGAAAGTGTCTACTTAGTTCCTTATATCTCATTTACGAAGGTACTGCTATCTCCAATGAGTGATGACTGTGTGCATAGCCAACCAAAATGAATCTGCTCTGTTGCGTTATCTCAACAGTATGATGGATCTTTGGATAAACACAAAGGAGGCGTTCTTCATGAAAATATTCCTCAAGGTTTCTAATGCTTCGTTTACGCTCAAAGATACAATAGCATATTCTGCGAAACTTTTTAACAGTATTGGATACTTAGTGAAGAAGCAAAATATCCGACTCTTCGGGCAACTAACTGATCGACTTCTGGTTCTTTGTAGATTAATGTGCACCTTGAAATATGGAGCTTTAAGCAGGTCGAAGAATCACTCATCGTGATGAAATGCATTATAGTTTGATTCTAAAAGGATCTCGTACCAAAAAATTGTATTGCTGATTAATGATGAGAGGCAACCTTGCATACGGTATGATGTCAAAAATCAGATAATTGGACTATAACTGGGTTCTGTGGGATGTCGAGCATACTGAAGGAAAACCGTCGACAATATCGTCGGAGTTGCTCACGACTATCCTGAGAAAAACTGTGATGCTGTTCGAGTTTACTGACGAAAAAAAACTCATTGGACTCTCCATCATCCTAACAAGAACAAATGCTCAGTAGGTTATCAACAAAGAGAGGTGATATTGCAAATGATACAGGTGGTACTGTAGATATTTTCATTCCCATCAACATAAGAAGTAGCGTGATTCGAACTCGAAATACTTCCTGAACAATAGCTAAGTTGCGAAGCAAGCCAACAAAATTGTTTCATAAGCAGCCCAACATTTGACCCTCTTTGTCAGGTTAGTTAGTAATCTGTATTATCTAGGTTGATAGTGGTTATAAGATTGCAATATTTTTTCCTAGGTGGCACATCTGTTACAGATCCAACTCAACTCTTCGTCATTCTTGCAACTCTTCTCATTTTCTACTATCATCTAATTTTTCAATAATTACAGGTCTTCCTCTTTGCTGAGGCCGGTCTTCTAGGAGTATTCAAGAATATTTTTAAATCACCCGGTAATTCATCTCAAGAAGATAGTTCGAACAATGATAAAGAATGGTTAAATCCAAAACAGGATACAGACACTGAGGTTGTTTCACAGTTGGGTTCAATAAATCAGTTTCATAGTCGACTTCATTCACCTTTGTTTTCCTAAGAATCTCTAATAACTATTTAATTCCATATCGAACTTCATTAATTGTCGCCTGCATAATGATAATCGATATTTCAACTGCAAACCCTGCTCAGATCGTCCATAAAGCTGTCACTGTAAACAAACTAGAGAATGGCACGGAGGTTTACAACCTCCTAGCCATCACCGACATGGACAAGGACGCTAGATCAGGGACAGACTGGACGTGGAGAGCAGTCACAAGGAAGGGAAAATTGGCAATCAGCGAGGATAAGAAAAAGGTGTCAATAAGCTGGGAAGCGGGTTCGGATCGGAATCTAACCACGTAGGTTATAACTTATATTAATACAAATATGCTTTTGGAAGGCAAATTTTGTTGTTACGTTTTTTTTCTCATTCGGCCCGTCTTAACACCTACTATGCGGATCCCAACACTTCTCGTATTCGATTCGTTTCCTCGCATCCATCATCGACTAGGGCTTCCAACTTTTAAGCGTGGCTGCGGCGGGAGCTTGAGGATTTTCATTTCGTCCTGAATGTTCTAGAATGCTGGTCGAGTCGATTCGCACTGGGGTCCCAGGATAGCCAGGCTAGGGCGTTCCCAATTGGATGGCAAAGAGTAATTTTTTCACGGACCATTTTCTTAGCTGTGGACAGATGAGATGTTTGATGAGTCTGGAGCACGATAGAACCAGAGCCGTGTTTGTGATGGCCAGGATCACTACCACAGGTCTATCCCACACTGCTGTAAAATATCAAAAAAGTAATTTTCTTAGATACTGAGTTAATACTATAATGTAGTTATACTTGACAATGTAAAAATTGTTTCCTTCGTGTGTGCAGTATACCTCGATGGTCAATCCTCACCAGTAAGTACTTTAGTGCATTTCCTACTCGTTCCGTTCTTCTTGCAGTTGTCACCTTTGATTTGTTCCTAGCATTGTAGCGTATAATCGGGCGAATTCTATGCAACTAAAAATTCGACTTCATAATAATGAATTGGTATAAACGTTCGACATGAATCATTACTGCTACGAATAGAGCAAAGCCGCAAAATATCAGCTACATCACAGTTTTACAATAAGCCAGTGTAGTCCTTTCAAAGTACTGAGATATTGATTATTAATGACGAGGCTAAATGAAGGTTAGTATCTTCAGATTTATTCTTTTCTCGAACGAACTCTTTGTGACTGCAGAAATCTACCAGTTTCATATTTGATAGAGTTTCTGGTCGTGTCACAAGTAGACTGTAGTCCTAGATCGGTTATTTGTCAAATTACTTACAACGTAGTGGAAGAGTCCAATCCAAAATTCTACTGCAATGCAGGCCCTCACTCTCCTTTCTTGAGAGAAGCAGTTTTTTTGCAGAACGAATGGCATAATAGCAAATAGATTAGATCCAATATAGAGTTATGGCTTCAGATCCGGTTTGAGTTATTTCAGTATGCAATTCCCATGTCCAATGAACCTTTTACGTTCCGAAGAAAACTGATTTTTTTCGTAGACTTAGTTCATTGGACAATGCTTAGTCTCCGTGTAACTTTCCACATGGGCCTTTTATTAACGCTACACTACAAACATCAAATCACGACTTCAAAAAAGTACCACTTTCCGTTTGTTACTAGCTTAACAAAAAAGCTTTCGCACACTTTAAACTAATATCCGATTTAAGATTTCACAGCGGCCGAATACTAAAATGCATAAGCTGGATGCTCGTGCTATATATATATATATATATATATACATGTATATATATATGTATATATATATATATATATATATAGATGCGTCATTTTCTTGTTCAGCAATCGTAAGTTTGTCATACAGAATAGATTTACTTCCATGCAAAAACACACAATACAGCAATAGCTGACGTTTTGGCGCCTCCTTAGAGCCTGGAGGGACATACTGAAATGCAATTTGCTAGGCCTTTCGCCTCAGTAACACATACAAAAAGACGAAAAACTCCGTGGAAAAGTGTCAAGGTACCAAAAAAAAAACATCCATTTAGGTGTGAAAAGAAAAAGGAAAAAAGAAGTCGTTTGCCATCTGGGTGTCGAAAGGAACACCTAGGTGGCAAACGAAATCTAAGACAAAGTACCCCACTAGGCACGCACAAGATACAGAAACAGCGAAAATGATTTTGATGTAAAAGCCAATGTTCTCGCACAGGGGACCAAAACACCAACGTGCAAACTTTTTGAGGCTTTTTGGTTAAATGTCAGGAACCCTCAATGAATAGCAGGGAGGAATGCCCAGAGATCACACGCGCCGGCTCGGTTCCGTACCTCCGCATCAATTTCTGATGTGGGGTAGTGTGTCATGTAATTTTCACAGAGTTTTTCGTCTTTTTTAAAGTGTTATTGTAGCGTTTGACCTAGTAAGTTGCGTATTAGTGTGTCCTTGCAAGCCCTGAAGAAGCCGATAGTGCCAAAACATCAGCTACTGTTATATTGTGAAGTGGGTTTTTTTTAAATGAAAGTAGATGCATGCTGTATAACAATCTTGCAATTGCTGAACAAGAAACCGACGCATTTATATTCCAATTCCGACGTTAATAGGTCTATTCTGGAAACTATAAATGAACGAATGAATGCAATAACTTCATATCAAAACACCCATTGAAAAATAGTCTTCGTGTTTTCTTACACTACTAGCATTTTGTTCTTTAAAGCCTCCAGATGGAATTTCAAATAGAATTTTTCTTTGCTTTGCCTGCTTCTTTGCAATCGTAAGGGTTTTAATATAGTTCTGCTCTAGACAATTGAATTCGAAAGGACGTGCAATGGAACTGTCGGATTTGTCTGAGTTTAACGGTCGACTTATTTCACCGGATGACAAGACAGGAATTCTTTACGAAATTAGAGACAATAAGGTGAATTCTGTTGTATACGCTGCTCTCATAGGTCGTTTCTCAATTAATCAATCAATCAATCAATTTCTCACCTGACATGTAGATGGTAAGGATTGCGAAATATCATGTATTTGAGTTCAGCCCAATTATATGCGTCGAAATTTAAATGATATAAGCCTGCAGTCATGGGTCTCTAATTGTGATAACCTGCAATGTTGACACAGATTGCACGTTTTGCACAGTGGTCACAGCTCCTCTAAAATGGATACGCGGTCGTTAGTTCGATCCCGCGTCTCTGGTTCAGTAATCTATCTATCGATCCCGTGTCGCTGGCTGAATAATCTATCTATTTGGAGTCGGCAAATTTGCAGCAGACCTAGCTGAAAGGATGGTTGCACCCTCTTGGTACATCGGTAGTGCACCGTAAGTCACTGTACGACTGTACATTCGATGACCTCTGGGATACTTCATGAAACCGAATGCACGAGGGATCCAGCAGAGATTGATCAACGCACGGATTCTCCATCTTTTATTAGTTTGGTAGGTATTAAAATTCGATTCTTTATCTGATCCATTGACTGGAAATTATTCATCTACCATTTTCAATGCGTTCTTATTAGGATTTAATGAGACCAGTGCTAAGGCTGTACTTGTATCTATTTAATTATTTATTCATATTTCTATTTATTTATTCATTACATAAGCTGCCATCTCATAGTGCTCCATTCCAATTTCTTTCATTCGATTCGCTTCCTTTCGTCCATCATCCATAGAAGCTTTCGGAATTGCGTGTAGGCTAGGCTGCTTGAGAGTGACATTGAATGCTGTTTCATTCTTTTGTCTTTGGCATTTTTTGGCAGCTTTCGTACGGGGTGCCTAGATCATCATCGCAAACTGTGAGTGGCCTCCATAGATTGGAAAGAATTCATTTCAAAAAGTCTATAATTAATATGGTCGCTTCCGGAAGGATGGGAGGCTTACTGGCGCTGGGGTAGGCTCAAATGAGAGGTGTTGAGCGTTTTATTGAAAGACAATGCTACCAGTGAGCTTATCCTACCCGTGAAGATATATGATTCACAGAAGCACTACAATTGCTGGAAAATCTGTCAACAATCGAGTCATCATGCAATCAGTAGTAAGAACTGTGATATTCATCCAACGCATGGAATAGGCGCAAATTCGTTTCCAAAAGAATACCGTTGAAAAATTGCAAAATTTACGTGTTAGAAAGGGTGCAGAGATAAAAAGCTTTCAGACAAAGTACGATTACGAAAGTAACAATAGAAGTCATTAGGTGGGTGGTTGCAGAAAAATATTTTTGCAACCTTCAAATTTCCATGCTCTGTGATCTAAGAGGCAGCCGTGAGACTTATGGTACGTGTTTTCTACGTATTCATTTGATTGGTATGAGAAATCCTATGACTGAAGCAGGCGAATCACAACGAAAACATTTTGCCAGTGCCAATGGTTTAGGCGATTCCATGGTTATTCCTTAATTCTGGACCTGGTGACACCACGAAAGGGATGAAAGCCGAATGGACAACCATAAAGGGCAACTATCTCTACGTCGGCGGTCACGGAAAGGTTCGTAAAATTCAAAGTTTCACATTTCCCTCTCCACTAAGCAATTTTTTTGGAAAGCAAGAAAAACCGCTTGCGTTTTCATCCAACGCTTTATGAAAGTATTTTGTCAGATCTTGAGATTATTATAGGAGTTCATAAGCGATAATGGAACTGTTCTCAGTGAAGACGATATGTGGATCAAAATTATTTCCAAGCGTGGAGAGGTAAACTCCAAATACTTTGCTTCCTTTTGGACAAAAATTTTAAAGCTATTACAAAATCGAGATTAAAGGCGAAATTATCATTACTAATAGAGGTTACTTCAAGTTTCTGTTTCTCTTAAGCTTTGGTTTAAAACCTATTTGCCTACTGATACATCGCAGAACTCACTGAAGCAAATGGCCCTCATTTGATACAAAATAGCATGAGTGAAAGCAATTTCCTTTTCTATTCTTTGGAAAATCCGATTAGATGACTACCTTTTTCTTAACTATACCTTTTTCAGGTTAAAAGTATTAACTGGAAGAATGAGTATATAAGGGTCCGTGGAGCTGTCAATATCACCGCGCCAGGTTACTTAATTCACGAAGCAGTACAATGGTCCGCACAGCACCGAAAGTGGTTCTTCCTTCCAAGGAAAGAATCGCAGACAATTTATAATGAAGTAGAGGACGAAAAAAAGTGCGTATTCTTTTTCGTTTTATATCTGACGCCTTTTTAGCATCGTTAGAAGAGGACGTTAACTATGAATACAAATTTCAGAGGCACTAATCTGCTAATCATCGGAAATCCCGCTCTCAAAAACTTCAAAGTTGTTAGAATAGGAAAACTCACCAATCCTGAACGCGGATTTTCAGCTTTTGAATTTATTCCTGGAACGAAAGACCAACTTATAGTTGCGTTGAAATCGGAGGAGGTCGACAAGAGTCCACCAGCGAGTTACATTACGGTGTTCGACATTGACGGCAATGTTCTCCTCGAGGATCAGAAACTCGAGGATCAGTTCAAATTCGAAGGAATTTATTTTGTTTAAATGTTATTTGGCATGGATTGTCATAAAGCGTCCTCGGACAATGCTGTTTAATCTGCTTGGTTGATTCAGAATCAAAAGGAAATCAAAGGGTGTCATAGTACTCTTATTAATTACTACTTACTTACCGTATATCACTTCATTCAATATGGAAGGACTATTAATTCTACAAAAATAACTTTAGACTTCCTGTTTAAATAACGTTTTCTGGATATAAAAGTGATTCAGAAAAAACTACTCATCAATGAAGACATAGAATAATAGATGTATTCATACTGTATAGGCGAAATTTGTCAAGGAACACCTTGCTACGGGAAAAAATCCATAGATAGGAAAAAATATTAGCAGGAGTACGACCTTTGCTATGATGCGGTATTAAGCCGTTTACATGCTCAGCCCTTGTTGGTAATCGGTTGGCCGTTCAGGAATTGATTCCTCTGAAGTCGTACACCTAGCGATTGGGTGATGTAGATAGTTCAGCTCACATCGAATACTGTGACGTACACTGGGTCTTCACTCTATAGTAGTTGATCGTATTGAAGGCGCTCTATAACAGAGAGATAGCATCCTAGTGCCTCCACCTTTTGGTGCGCAGTCCTATCCGAATTTGTTACGAACCATCGTTAAAATTTGTCATCGTTCACGAAGGAGTTCGACACAGATTTCTGTGAGCGTTAAAAATCGTATCTGGTCTGCGTAACGCGGAAGTAACGACCCACAATAGACTCATGCAGGGCATCGGCATTTTTGTTGTTGACAAAAAGGCACTGTAAGCAATTATTCTCAAACCAACCGTAATTTAACCTCAGTGCTATAATAATAAACATTTGTTTATATTGCTGAGCTCAAACAAGGTTGATATGAGATGTTTATTCGGCTAACGTTTCAACGTTTTCCTCTTCATCAGAGCCAATGGTCCTTGTCGATGGTCCACGGTTGTTCCTTTTCTCGACGTGGCGTCCTCATCTCGAATCGAACCGGATCTTTTTCAGTTGAACATCGCGAATGAGCCAAAAACAAGCGGCGACGCTCTTTTATACAGGGCGGTTGTTGTTGATATGATTATCAGTTGATGATAACTTGTTTTTCAACCGATAATTCACCCTGCATCAGTCGGTACTTTCCTAAATTCTTTCTTATTCTTTCTTATCTTCTTTTCTTTTCTTAAAAAATTTTTTCTTATTTTTTATCCTATTATTATTTTTTTCTTTGATTTTAGTTTTTTTCGGTACTTTTTTAGTTGAATGACGGTCGGTTTCAGAATTAATGTTTTGCTATTCACCACATGCTAGCGACCGTCATTCAACTAACAAAATACCGACTGCTGCGGGGTGGATTATGAGCTGAAAAACAAGTTATCAGCAACTGATAATCATGCTAACAGCAATCGTCCTGTATAAAGAGCATCGCCAGGTGCGTTTGGCTCATTCGAGACGCTCAACTGAGGAAGTTCCGGTTCGAGGCGAGATGAAGACGCTACATCGAGAAGGCTAACTACAGTGGACCATCGACATGGATCATTGGCTCTGACGAAGGCGAAGACGTCGAAACGTTAGCCGAATAAACATTTCATATCAACCTCGTGTAACCTCAACAATATGAATAAATGTTGTAGTCAATTACTACTCGAAATCGGTGCTTGTCCACTTCGCGTTTTGCGTTGCTCTCGTACGTCTGCTGCCATCTAAATCGCCTCTTCTTCATGTATCCAGGGATCTTTTACTCCCCGAAGTGTACTCGGAGCGAGTTATAAGCCGTTCGAAACTGAATAATTGAAAGGTGGAAGGTAATTTTTCGAAGAATGTCGCATTGTCATGAGTTCGAAGACAGAGTAATTCGTTACGCTTTCCTTTTTTCTTGTTCCCCGTTGTTTTTGCTCCTTGTGAAATTCCTGCCCAATCTTTCTACGTGAGGCAGCAATACAATAACAATACTATGACAGTGACGAGAGCAATAATAGGTGGAAACTTATAAATTCTGCCTAATATTTAATATTCACTCAACTTCTATAGAGTGCAACAGAACGGGAATAACAATTTGAATAGTGAATAGGAATTTATCTGATGTGATGATTGTTAATTCTCTCGTGTAATTCACTGCATAACTTAACTCCATCAACACAATTCAACTCTCATAATTCACAATTGCTTCCAAAAAATTCGCTGAACGAAGATCTGATCAGGTTTACAAATCTTAAAAAAGTTCTAAAAAAGTTTGAACGCTTTACTTTTCAGTAACGCAACTTTTTTTGTGATCTTTTGCAAATTTTGGTGATGGGAAGTGGAGTAATTCACTACAGCACTCCTTATACCGATTGATTGTTTTCTAGATCATAGCACTAATTCCATTTATTTTTTATTCGTCAAATTTGGTGAATGTAACCGTACTCCTTAATTTTTTAAATGATCTTATAAACTGACCCTGCCGAGCTGATGTGAGTTTGGTATGTTTTCGTGGTCGTTGTTGTTGGTTTTATTGGCCGATGACCGACGTTTCGGCGACTTCGCCTTCCTCGGAGCCGTGCTGTTATGAGTGGGACTCGTTCTTCTTTATTTGCAAAATCAGTTTTGTTTTTTCTTTATTTTTTAGTGATAGTGTTAAAATTCAAGGCAAATAGTTTTTGAACTATCATTGATAGGTAAGAAAAGGATAAACCTCTCGGCGTTGATCAATCCCTGAAAGATGCGTTATGCATTCGTCTTCAGTAAACAGCGTTTGGAGGCGATTGAATGCATATCTGGCCTTTACAATGACCCTCGGTTGTCTACCGATGTATCGAGCCAGTGTTGCTATCCTCCCAGACAAGTCTGAAACCAATTTGCTGACCCCGAAGGCATAGGAGGATTGGTGGGCCATGGGCACAGGGATCGATTCCGTGTGTGTTGCAGGGCGTCTCCGACTACTGCACCACACGTACCTCTATCTACCATAGATACGCCATAGATATAAAATTTTTTTGTTTCTTGCGTAGAAAACACTGGTAGTTTCAGTTATAATGCAATTCCGTGCAAAGATAAAACCACATAGTATCGATTTAGGGTGTCAACAGCAGTTGTTCACAGCACAATAGTCGTGGCTGGTGATTATGAATTCGAACTTGGTCGAAAATTTCATAATTCATAATTCCAATTGGAATATAACATCGTTACTATTTATATGTCAAAATCTATTTGTAAAAGGAACCATAGTGTCATGTTTATACAGCGGTAGCTCTCTTCAATATGTCCGAATCGGCAGTATTCGTGGTGGCAATAATTTGTGTCGATTTGCGCTATCAATTCAATCTGCTACGAACCCCTCATCCTCCTCATCTACTCTACTGTAGTAGCTTATTCCACTAAGAAATTCCATCTCTACTTTTATTGTTAAGCTTATACAAAATTCTTCTGCGATTTTTTCTATTGCGGCTAACACTTCGGCATCATCGGCTTCTTCAGAGCAGTCGTGACTTGAGACCAGTGTTCAAACAAGATGTTCCTTCTTGTGACGTAGCTCTTCTCATTCGATCCGACGCGAATTCATTGGAGTGACGAACTGCGCGGATGAAGTGACCTCAGCCAGCACTTTCTCTCGTTTTTTCTGTTTCAGTCCTACTGATATCATCCGTTGTTGACAATATGCAGTAGTTAGTGGTCTGCTATTAACGCTACTGCTTTAATGCATATCATCGTCATTGTCGTACTTTATCTCGCTTTTATTGATTAGTCATTTAATTATTTAAAACATATTCCTCACTAATAGCATAAGAACGCGAGTAAACAGTAATACTATCAATATCTCTGTTTTTGACAAACTTGTAATAAGTCTTTATTTTGTTTAAATTAAGAAACGTTAACCATAAAAAGATTCGAGAGATGTTCCACTTCCACAGATTTAGTTCAATGTGACTACGAAGACCTAATGCATTGCAAGGAAATAATGGATTGGTTATATTAAGTCCAGCCCAGAAGAAAAGTCCATGCATCTAAATAATCACCTGTGTCACCTATAGTTCCATGGATCATCGAGTGACTTGAGAGGGCGCAGTAAATCTTCCATTTTTCTGTCGCGTGCAAGAGTAGCATCGAAGTAATGGGCCTAATAAAGGGTTTTGATAGTACCCATGCAAGCTTACAAATTTATTTTTGTATTATACGACTTTGTGCCTTGAGCAGATCCTAGTAGCTCTCTCACTCCATTCGTAGTCTCGCATCCATCGTTTACAAAGAGCTCTAGATTTGGAAGTAGATTTGGTTGCTGCTCGAAGCCTCCAATAGTCTTTATGGCCGTCAATAAATGCCGGCCAAGGTAGTTCTCTCTGGAATCTTACGATAGCCCCAACAGTGTTTTCAGTACAGAGTTGTTCAAATCTGGATCAAAGGCGAGTTAATCAAACTGCCCAAACACGCCAGTTTGCTGAACTCGGGAAAACGTTAAACTTCGTTGATCTGAGATAGGCTCAAACCAGGACTATATCTGTATTATTGCAAGGCATCTCTAATAATTGGGTTTTACGGGCATTAGGCCTCTTAGTAACAAGCAGAAATGTTATTTGCTTTTGAGAAAATCGAATTAAAATCGGTTTTTTAAAAATACTTCCTCGTTAGCTGGTTTTAAATATCCATTGAACGACATAGTGTTTTAGAGTATGAGACTGCTTTTATGGATCATATTATTGGCAACGATAGTAGAGTGTGCAAAAATCGATAACAAGGATTCGAAGAATGTAGATGAAACAAAAAAGGATAGCAAAAAGAAGCCAGAAATGAAGAAAACAGTGGATTCGACAAAAAAATCAGATACAAACAAAAACGACGAACAGAAGACGAAAAAGCGATTGTGGTTCGACGGTAAAAGTGAATGGGGAGAACATTCGCTGAATTTGTGCTATAAGTCCGATCCCTTACCGCAAGGTTAGTTCACTTATAAAGTTTACAGAAAAGGTTACGAGAATGCTGTGTACTGACAGAGACTGGATTGTTTAGAGTTTAGAATGACGAACTTTAGTACCTTATCTTTCACTAGTATTATAATACAGCAAGTCGTGGTAATACATTTCACAGATTACCACTGCTATCAGTATTATCGTAACTACGAAGTGGTCTATGTCGATCCGATCGCCGTAAACCCTATAATTCTCGTCTTTCGAAAATTAATACCGCAAAAACTCGTCCACGGCTTTTTGGAAGACGTTTATAAAAAGCAGAACAGAACAAAAAAGGTGAGATTCTCTTAGACACAAGTATTTTTATTGAATTTTCAGCTTCCGACGGATTCCTAAGCGACAAACCTAACGAAGAAAAGTCATGTGTCATTCAAGGGAAAAACATGGGATGATAGCTCATAGCATGGATAGGATAGGGCTACTGTTCCTGATGTACTAAATCACTCAGTGATTCAGTGGTACTATTATGCTAAGACGCTTTGGTCTTTAAACCACTTTTCTTCACATATCTTACCGGTGCTTACAGTTCTTTCATTAGTCTCTTTATCTTGCAACTGCTACAAATTGAAGTGGTCAGATTTTTCCGGTGGTTGGGCAACAATTTGAGGACCATTCTCTTTTACCATCAATATTTTGATTAACGGCAAAACGTGATTTCGTCTGAAAGCCGTAGATTGCTCTGTTAGTGCCCTGAGAAAAATCGGCGATATGAGACTCGGAGTTCCTCAGAACAGCGTTGATTCTTGTTTGACGGATCGTTCAATGGAGCTGCATAAAGTCGAATCAGGTGATTTCCTTGAAATGTTCAAATACACTGCGAAGCTTGGAAGAAAGCAGTACTGAAGGATTTTGTCTGATGTCATATAAATACTGATTCTTAGCTACGGTCATCAGTGATGTGGTCAAACAACTCCAATAGTCAATGTAGTCTTTTTCTTTTGTGTCTCCACAAAGCGATGGAACAGGTTTATTTAGACAGTCGCCGCATGAGCCGAAAATTTTAAACGAAGACCACATATCAACTGCTATTGTTCACATCGTAGCTACGACTTTTGGAACGTCGTGTCATCAAAGCACGATCCAACGATCGGTGATATGATTACAAGCGAAGCTTCGTTCCAAAGTAGAAGTCATGACGAGTGTAATAGCAAATGAAAATACAATCACTGCTGTACAATTTAGGTGTAATAATAATCAAAAGATAAGCAGAATATAATGGATTAATATCTGTGTATTGTCTTCACAACATCATTGACTTTTGTCCGCTTCTAGTCTTTAACCTGAGTAACTTACAGGATAAGAAGGATGATGAAGACTTCATAAACGATTATCTAAAAACCTACAAACGTCGAAAGGCAAACGAGACTCTTCTCTCGCATACCGGTATGTCTGGTGTGGCAAGAGTTTTTCGTCGAGCACAAGCTCTCATACAAACGTTGAATTTTAACAACAGCGGCATGTGGCAGGTGTGTTGTATATCAGTATTCGTATTTTTGAAAATATCGTACATAATGGAAATTCCACTGAGATAATAATAGGAAAACGTTAGTTCCCAGGATCGACTTTCTATTAACCTCGGCATTGGAATATGAATGCGTCGTTTTCTCGTTCAGCAATCGCGAGGTTTTTAAACAGCATACATTTACTTCCATAAAAACACAATACAATACAACGCTAGCTGACATTTCGGCGGTATCGTCTTCTTCAGAGCCTGGAAGGGTATACTGGCATGCAATCTACTTAGCCAAACGCTTCAATAACACTTACAAAAAAACGAAAAACTCTATGTTAATTACATGATCAACAGCTTCTCGAAACACCGCTTTTTGCACCTGTCTTCCACCCAGGAAGAATTACAAAAAGAGGAGCATTCAAATCTGCTGAATAGCCGATTTTTGCTGGTTTAGTCACTGCGGTTCTCCTCAGGTGAGCCTAGCCAATGTCTATTCTAGGTTGTCTCGATCATATGTAGTCACCGCCCTTGTGGATCAGAGGGAGATTTGCCACCATCGACTACTTTGATGCCAAAACGGTGGTGGATCCCGGTATTGCTTTACTCTGAGCTAGGCTTCCTTATGGAAGCGCCAGACTCCTTCTCAGCTTGGGAGATACAGCCAGGGGTATCAATCGCTTCGCTGTACATCGCAGTCCGACACGCAGGACCACCTGCCAACCACGACGAGGCGGTAAACCGTTGAGAGGTTCTAAGGTTTACTCATTCATTCATTCTAAGACATAAATTAGCAGGACTAGAACCTAATATTATAGCTGATATAATTGCTTGGTTTGACGACTTCAAATTGACGTTTGATAAGTAAAAATTTTATAGAAATTTCGCGGAAGCTGAGCGAATGATTTCCTCGTTAAGGTCTTGTCGTTTCAAAAAGGCGGTCATGCAGCTCCACACTACGACTATATTACTTACTCATCACCTGATCAGTACAGTAAAACCACAAGAAAAAATGGAAACCGTTTTTTGACATTTGCACTGACACTGAAATCGGCGGATATTGGAGGAGGTTGTTATGGATTTAGCAGCTTTGCAATAGGGTTTTTTGAATTTTGTATCGTAAAAATGACGATCCACTAAGTCGTTGTCTCCTCTCTTTTAAATAACTCTCGCCACTGTTCAGTATCTATTTTAATTCCTCTACTATTTCATTGGATGGTGGTTTTCGTGTTAGGCAAGCCGATTCATCTCCACAAAACGATTATAAATTTGCAGGAAAAAGTTTAAATCAGATGAAAATATAGCAGTGAAGGATAGAGCTCTCGGGATCGATCAACTGTTTACGTGGAGTTGGTTTCCACGATGTGCGGAATGGAACCACAGACTATGCGTGCATTGAAGGGCAACTCTATCCGCCGTGCTAGAGTCGCCGACAAATGTAGAATGAAATATTGAATTTCTCAGTCTCTTTGTTTTATGTTCTCGAGTTCTTTGGTGAAACAACAATGACGACAATGACTGTGCGATTTTTAAGAAAGTTTCGACATCGGATGCAAACTCATTCAACAATAAAGAAAAAGAAAAGCTCTTTGTTTCTCCTTTCCTTTAAATAAAAACCAAGGCAGTCTAGATTCCCTGATCAACTCACATTGTAGCGCAATTCTTATTTTTCTTCTTCATTCTTTCTTTACTTCATTCCTTCATGTTTTTTGCCTCATTCCTTACCACTTATTGTTAGCTCCGTTTATTGACAAGTTTTCAGAGACTGTTTTCGTGCTTGCGAATCTTACAGTGCAAACTGGACCAGGAGATGTCCTATTATTCACAAATATGAATAGGGACATGACACCGGTAAACAGTAATCAATGTTTTCTAATAAGTTGTGTTGAAGAAAAAGTGCTCCTGATTCTGCTTCTAGTACGAACAGTTTGGAAAAAAGTACACAAATTGTTTTCTGCAGAACTTAGACTTTGAAGAAGCTCGTTTTTCATTTCAAGAGACAAATCCTTAACAAATTTACTAGTAATCTTGCTTATCCACCACCGTACCATTCATACCCGCGCTTCATTGAAGTGGCAAAAACTGTCAAATCCTCGGATATGTAGCAATTATTTCCGTTAGAAACAGGAAAAAAAACCAAATAGATGGCAAAAGTGATAGCTATAGAAACATATAACTATTATAAATATTCATTGTCGTGCCTTTTTGTCCTGTCGGCTTTTCACAGAACAATAAAATCGATAACATACCATTATTCCCACGATTCGTCAAGAACCCGCTAGAGTATCTGTACTTCTGGTGCTGTTAAATATATTTAATAGTTGTTTTTCTGGAAATGAGACATTCTCGATGAGAATCATTCCAGGCAGTCGGTTCTGCACATGCTGAATGCCCTGTGGAAAGTGGAGAAAAAATCACGGCTACACTTTGGCTTCGCCCTAGAGGTCAAGAATTGTTCTATTCCTATATGCAAGATGACAACTCATTTGCATATGACTTGGATAAACTTATCGCACCTAAAAGAGATTTGTTTGGAATGAGCCCAATCTACGACGTTTACGTCTATCAGAAGCTGATGATGGAAGCGTTTGCAGCTGAACATGCAAGAAAACTAACAACAGAAAAAAGTATGGGAACCGGAAAAAGTGGAAAAGCTGGAAAGAAGTGAAATTCGCTCTCAGCATAGTTGTTGCGCAAGTTTTCAAAGCACATCGATAACTAAAAGCTTTTAGCCGTCAAATTTCATGCAGTTTTTCTTACAATGATTTTCATCGAAGGGTTCTCGTTCTTCACTACGGTATTCGTCACTATTTTTTTTTGTTCTTTACATTTCACTCCATCCTCTTCACTCTCTTATTATCTTACTATCGCTGTCTTTTCAATTTTTCCACGTTGTTCTTCTAATTTTTATATAGAAGGAATCGTTCATTCCTTTAGGAACTGTGATCACTATGTTGATGTTTGAGCAATAATTTATTTACAATTTGCTCTTTTTATCTGACTAAATTGTTGTTATCGAGTTTATCTGTTAGAGGCTTGGAAAAAGCGTCAAAAGAATTAAAATGAGTACACTTAAGCGTCTGCGGTGGGGAACGAACTAGCTATTATTGTTTCGATAGTGATCGATAGAACTAGCTAAGAGACAGGCGAAACGAAAGACCCGCATGGTGTGGTGGTGGACGCGTTACTCTCCGGAAAGGATAGTAGCGTGTTCGTTCCCCACCGCAAACACCTGTGGTCCGGAGTTTTACAAAAATCTCACCATTATAGAAGTTATATTTCGCAACATACCCCGCAGATTTTCAGGCGAGTATCTTCGAACAGCCATCGTTTCCATTGTGTTATAAGCTATAAATTTCTATAAATGTTTGATCAAGAACAAATGGTAACGAAAATGATCAAAACTAAAGCAGGTTCATATAATGTTGTCCATCAATATTAAGTGAGTTGTAAACGCATTTCCTCCTAAACGTGCTGGGTTTTCAGTAACTATAGTAACTACGAACTTATTTTTTGTTGTTTGTCCAAATAATCTGAAGTCAGAAGGTCCAAGAAGAACAAAGCCGTCGAATGAGGAATTTCCCTCTGCACTCTTTCACATAGTGAATGAGGTGGTCAACTGGATGCGATCAAGAAAACCCACATTGAAAGATGGAAGAACTATGGACCAACGACTCGGCTCAATCCGATTCTGAGGTAAGCGAAGGCGCCGAAGCGTTAGCCTAATAAAGTTTTTATCAACCTCGTGTTAGGTTATCAATGAATGAATACATACTGACTAGTCAAACCAAGGTTAAAGAAAAGTAGATTTTTGAAATGTTACTGTTAGCCTGTGCAGTTTGTGATTACTGTCGATGAAGATCATAAAAGTAGGAGATAGATGGACTATATAATATGTTTTTTTAACAAAGGCCATTCAGTGTCGTTGCACGTAGTGCTAACCGGTCGTTTCATGACATCCCGTTGTTCAAAGTGTGCAAGAAAGCAGTGTATATTTATATATCATTAAGAACTCTGAACATTAAACGTATTTTTCGCCTAGAATACCCATCGACCGTTCTCCATTAAAGAATTGTCTCAGTCTTGCTTCATAAATTGATAGCGAGAATGAGAAACGACTTACCGTATCTCGAGCCAATCCATAAACATTTTCATTTCATTTCTATTGTTGAATGAATGAAATACTAATCGAGGACGGATGAGTATACAAAGGATTTCTACGTGTTCAAATGCAAAACATCACTGAAACAGTGTACGATGAAAATTTTCCGAATATTAACAACGTTCTAACCAATACGCACATAGTTCACTCACTATACTCCTTAATCGCTTCAACATAGTTGCTCCGGTACTGATCGGATCGATTTAAATTGCCAGGTTTGCTGTAAAAATAAGAATGCTACTTCAGACTTTTATCAAATTGTTATGGCAACATTTTAAAATGTGATTTTTGCAATAAATACGAATACTTTCTGAAATACGTCTTGTGGGTAGTCGGAAAACGTAGGAGACTCATTGGTAGCAACCGTAGTGTCGTGCCTCTTTTGTCGTTCAACACCTAACATTACTATTTAAAAGCGAGATCATATAATTTTTTTACTGAACGGGTAAGAAGTTAAAATGCATCTACATCAGTATGATTACAAACCATTGGAAAAGAATTCATGAAGTAGGCAGAGTTCCTAACAACTCTGGAGAAGTACTCTGAGAAAGAAACGCTTCAAATCCACTTAAAATTCGATCTTCAGCTCGCTGTAGTCAATGGATCTTTTCTGCTTTCTACTTCTACTGTTTAATAATGGAATACATTTTGTTTTGTCGGAAGAGATTATTGGCTGGCGCGACGATTACGTGGAATGGTGCAAAACTCCAAAGCCACAGGACTATGAGGGAGGTGAGTTTATAGTATTCAATCCTCTATTGATTTCATTTTTCAATTTTGTGAAATTAGCTTAAAAAATGTGAGAAAGTAACCGTTGCACTCTCCAATCTTTGACTGGTAAGCGATTTTTTTTCCTAAAGGTTGTTATGGCGTTGAAGAATGAGCAGCCAAAAAACAATCGTTTTCATGACTATTCCCCAAAGCATTATTGCTCATAAATTAAACTGCTGACTTTCATTCAGCTGCCAGTAGGCGAGGATCCCATTCAGTTGACTTCGCTTCTGATTCCTGATTTCTTGCTATCTTGGTAGTCATAATGCACCATTCGATTCCGTGGGTTTCACAAGCCCTTAATCATATCGGGGTTGAAAACTCGTTCAGGAATGGTCTGTGAGGATAGAAACACTGATTTCGCACATCGATAGTTTTTTGAAAATCATTGGATAGGTCAGATGTGCACTTAATCAGCTTCATGATGTTAGGAATGGTAAAGAATTCATGGCGCACTTCTCAGAGATAGATGCATGCTATATTCCCCTATCACTATTGGTCACCTCGATCGCACCACCTCACGACAAAACAGCCGAAGACTCCTCAGGTGGAAGGTTAAGCGATAAATCAACAGCTTCCCTAAAGGCGGTTAGAAGAAGTGTTTATAATGAAGCAAGAAATGTATTCGTGACTCACTATATTTTTTAGTTTTTAAATGAAATGAAATCCTTTTCAGCAGATTTCTTTTGTCTCTCCTATTTCTGGAATTACATAGATGTGCGAGTAGAGCTTCATTGTTTTGAGCCATTGATTATCGTCTACAGAGATTTTCTATCACGGCCAGAAATTGACGGATTTGTGACTGATATCGAAATAAAACAAGTACATCGTATTTAATCGTTTTTTAGAGACTTAAAATTTTTATAATAAAAACAACTCTTAATTTACATAGTAATGAGCAAACAGGCTTTTGTTATAATCTGAAGTTATTGCTTCTGATGTCAAGGAAAATGGAAAACGACACGAATTGCTGACGGACGGAGTCAAAGCCGTGGCATTTCGTCCGAAAGAAATCACGATGAGACATCGTGAAGGCAATGGAACGGCGGCCGTATTCGAGAAGATTCAAACAATTATCCCAGCTATAAACTTTGCTGTTAGTGAACCGTGGCAGGTTAGTTCATGACAGACAAAAATTATATGAAATGCTCTTCTGCAGCTACTTCGTTTTACAAGAAAGAAGAGGCATTATTGAAGACTGAAGTAAACTATCTACGAGTAAACCATCATAAAACAGTTCTCAAAAAACCTGGAAAAATTAATGCCATTCTAAATTGTAAAACGAGAATAGTAAATATTTGAGATTCTCTCATACGAGGCTGGAGAACACTATGCACCACGCTATGATTTCCTCAAGAGCACAAAGGATACATTCACTCAACAATTTGGAAACCGTTTTGCTACGTTCATGGTTGTGTTAATAAAAGCGAAAGCACTTGGACGTGAGTAAGGTCACGTAAAGGTTTTCCTTATATAAGTCACGATTTACTTTTCGTTTTCGTTTTTAATGGTTTTCCAATCCTTTTTTACTTTTTCAGTGGGCTATTCTGAAATTCTAGATCTGTTTAGTATAATAATACTAAGAGTCGCATATGAGGGGTTTCATTTACCCAAAGGATGCAGTTAGTCCGGCATGAATTATTATCAGTTCGTAGCCAGCGTTGCAAAAAACTGGCAGTGAAATGCGAGGATCACGTGGGTTTAGGCCTCGGTACTAAGTATCAAAAGCATCGGTATACACACCCATATGGTGTCAGTGTTAACTGGGCTATGCATGATACAACTTTCATTGTTGTAGTTATTCAGTGTTGGCTCTATGGGTGATACCCGTACTCCCTTTAATTGAGATTTGAAAACGCAGCGTCCAGTCATTCATAATCATTTTTTTCACGATTCTCTAAGATTTAGCGCCCTATAGCGCCGAGGCAATGCTCGTCGTTGTCGGACTTTCACTGCTAGTGAAAGTTCAGGTTCCAGCAGTTTTATGAAGAGCTCAATCTTATTGACAAATCTGTACTTCATTTACCAGCACGCAGCTTTTACCAGAACTTATGACTTTCTATGTTATTTATCTCAATCTTAAGATGGAAAAAATGAATAATTCTCAGCTCTGATTGTGAAGAAGACTACCTGAAAACGCATTTTATCAATCTACTTCTGCGAATAATGGGGCAAAATGACTACTGCGAGCATAGTGTTCTAAAACAGTACTGTATATGAAAAAAGACCAACCAGCTATCTAGAGATTTCAGTAGTGTCATAAAACAGTAATGTTTAAGTACACAAGTGTTACTGTTACTAAATTATACAAAAGACGGCTGCGTTCTGTGATAATCTTATTCTCTCGTATTTTCAGATACAATTTTTCCGGCTTACAATATCACGGTTGAATTAGAAGAAGGTGATGCTGTACTATGGACAAACATGAATGGTGAAGGACAAAAGGTTTGAGAATAAAGAGATATCCTCGTTCAGAGAATCGTTCATTATACATGAATGAACGACAAGCTGCTTTTTCAGTCGGTGGCAAGTATTCATGGTGACTGTGCAGTTTTGTCTGGAAAAAAAGTGACCGCTTCTTTGCGAATTCGTGCCAAAGATCAGTACCTCATCAAGACGTCAATGTTTGCTGGAATTTATAACATCGTTTCGCTAGCTCGTCCGCGATTTGACATTCGACGTCGCATGGCTGGAGTCTGATACAACCAGAGGATTTTCGGTTCTCATCAAAACTTGTTATATTGTTGATTTTGGAGTGGTTGACTAAATCTCCCTCTTTTCACAAGCAGTTAACATCCAGCTGGCAAATTTCCTCCAATTTTTACCCATTAATTTATTCCACTTTACTTGGCTTGTCATCACATCTACTGTGTGAATCCCAGCACTCCATGCATTTGATTGGTTTTCCTCAAATTCATCGTCCACAAAGATCTTCGAAAATTTCGCGTGTTTTCTCAACTACTGCTTGAGGTCGTCTAAGCAGCACCTTCGTACTAAAATCGAAGCTCTTCACAAAGATTAACAAAAGGCGATCTGGTAACGATTTAAGAAACCTTAGAAGAAACCTCTAAATGTTCCATGAGAATAAAACTTTACCTAAACAACTAGGTACCAGTTGATTTTAAATTGAGCTGAAGCATAAGCGATTTTTCGTAAAGACAGACTATTCTAACACTAATATATGTGAATATCAATGGTCACTTGTTCAAGATTGAATGGAGTTTCGTAGTTACGTGAAAAGCAAAAACAAAAGCCTCCATTTCTGTTAATTGAATTCCTGTCACACCGATTTAAGGGGTCAGAGAAATTTTTAAGAAAGTACAGGATCTCTCTGGTTTCAATTCTGAGAAGTTGAATGCATTATGAAGTTCTGATTCGGACATGCATGATGAGAGGTCGTCTGCAGCGGACCGTTGACGGAATCAAGCCGAATTTCCTGGACTTCGAATTTTCTTCCGAGAGTTCCTTCGAAAAAAAATTTCGAAGAAAAAAAATCGAAATCGAACTCTCTTCTATGTGTTTTCTTTGCTCACTCATCACAGGAAGCACATAATTCTATTATAACAGTTCATACTGAACTGTTTTATTACTAAAGAACTGCAAAAATTCATAGAACACTTAAGTCCAAGGAGACATACAGTCGATTAACTCTCTATCATTGAAGGCACCGAATCCCACTGTGTGAATCAAATGTTGCTACAGAACTTGGACAGTAACTCAGCCTTCAAAAGGCGCAAAGCCTTTTTTTTAAATGAACACGAAATAAGTTACACGATCTAAGGCAGCAGTAACATCTATGGATAAAGCTGTCAATATTGCTTAGCTCCTGAATAATGCTCTCTACACTCGACACCATCAAGCATAGCTAGAGTTGACTGAATGGAAATTTCGCTCGAACTGACTCGCGCTTCCAGTTTTTTCCAACGAAGGCTATGAGTTGATAATAACTCATGCCGGACAAACTGCACTCCTTGGGTAAATGGAAACCTCTCACATGCGATTCTTAGCACCAATACACTAAACAGATTTAGGATTTCCGAATAGCCCCACTGAAAAAAGTAAAAAAATTGGAAAACCACTGAAAACGAAAATGAAAAGTAAATCGTGGCAACACCTTTACGTGGCCAAGCTCACGCCCAAGTGCTTCAACTTTTATACATACAACCAAAAATAAAGCAAAACGGTTTCAAATTGTTGCATAAATGCAACCTTTGTGCTCTTGAGGAAATCATAGCGTGGTGCATAGCGTTCTATACCCACGTGTGAGAGAATCTCAAATATTTACTATTCTCGTTCTACAATTTACAATGCTATTAAATTTTGCAAGTTTTTCGAGAACTGTTCCATGATGTGCTCTTTTTCGCAAAAATCGTGAGGTGGTTATTCAGCACACCTTCACTTCCTTACAAATATAACACATGCAGCACAATGGTAGCTGACGTTTCGGCTGTATCTCTTTCTTCACAGCCTGGTAGGGTACGCCGATATGCAATTCACTAGATCAACCGCTACAACACCACAAACAGAGAGATGAAAGTCTGAACAATAACAACACGGCTTCTAGGAAAACGCGACGCTTTCTACCTACCTTCCATGCCCCAACCAAGAGTGAACTGGTGACCTTTAGATCCTCGGTCTAACGCAATCCCAACGGAGCTATCGAGGCACTGACATCATGCCAACAGGAAGAATAATGCTGGATTTGAGGTTGCCGACAGACATTGAGTGGGTTTCCACTATGAAACCGCAAACAAAACCGTGCCTCTTCTGTGAGTAAAACATTTAGTAATCCAAACCAGCGCTCTCCCAACACAGCAATAGAGGCACTGAGATCTCACAAAAACGAAAAGAATTACTAGATTTTCGGATACCGAAAGGAACATTGAGTGCGTTTCCACTCTGAAACCCTAAACAATTCCGTGTCCACCTTTGAGTGAAACTTGAGGTGGAGTGAAACATTTAGTCATCCAGTCGAACGCCCTGCATCTCGGCTACCGTGGCAGCGATATCTGGCCAATAGCAGAAATACTACTAGATCTGCGGATACCGAAAAGAACATTGAGTGGGTTTCTTCTCTGAAACCGTAAACAATTCCATGGCCACCTTGTGAGCAAAACGTTTAGACATCCAGACAAACGCCCGGCATCTCGGCTACCGTGGCAGTGATATCTCGCCAATAGCAGAAATACTACTAGATTTGCGGATACCGAGAAGAACATTGA